TAGCCAGGATGGTCTCAATCTCCTAACCTCGTGATCCGCTCACCTCAGCCTCCCAAAGTGCTGGGATTACAGGTGTGAGCCACTGCACCCAGTCTCATTTTCACCATTTTTTTTTTTTTTTGAAACAGGGTCTCACTCTGTCACCTAGGCTGGAGTCTGTCGCCAAGGCTGGAGTGCAGTGGCTTGATGTCAGCTCACTGCAACCTCAGCCTCCTGAATAGCTAGGACCACAGGTGCACACCACCACACCTGGCTACTGATTTTTGTTTTTGTTTTTGTTTTGTTTTGTTTTTTTTGAGATGGAGTCTTGCTCTGTCGCCCAGGCTGGAGTGCAGTGGTGTGATCTCAGCTCACTGCAGCCTCAACCTCCTGGGCTCAGGTGATCCTGCCTCAGCTGCAGGAGTAACTGGGATTACAGGTGGGCACCATCATGCCGCGCTAATTTTTGTAGAGACAGGGTTTCGCCATGTTGCCCAGGCTAGTCCCAAACTTCTGAGCTCAGGTGATCTGCCCACCTTGGCCTTCCAAAATGCTGGTATTATAGGTGTGACCCACCACGCCTGGCCATAAAGTGGATTTTAAACTCCTTGTAAGCCAGAGTCAGAGTCTTCTCTAACATGGACTTTAAATTTTTTTTTTTTTAATGAAAAAAAATTATTTTGAGCTTTCCGAAGGAAAAGGTATTGTTTTTTTTAAGCTCCAGAATATCAGTATAGAGAAACAGGCATTTAATATTTGATGATTGATGATGATGATGAAGCAGCAGCAGAAACCAAAGGTAGCAAAGGATCAAATGGGTATGGGTGTTGGGACTTGGCTATTGGGTATTATGGGCCTTCCAGGAAGGGCTAAACTAGGATATGGCCCAGAGGATGAGAAGGAGGGGCATACATGGTATCCATTGCCCAAAATAACTCTTGGTAACCTGAGGAATTGGAGTCAGGGATTGAGCTGGGGTCACGTGCCTGGGTCTGGCTAGGGGATGAAGGTGAACAAGAGATGTTGCCAGCCTGGTTCTCTGGGAAACTAGAGGGAGGAGGAAGGGCTAGAAGAGTTATTTTTAATATTATATAGAGCACTGAAAGAGGATTTCCCAGTAGGGAAAAAAAGGATTTGATGTAGGGAACACTGATACTATCAGGGCTCAGGGAGATACACAGGGTATGGGAGGAGGAGGCCAGAAGTGGTGTTAAAACCCTCTTATATGGACAGTCCTTCAGGATTGAACTACTGCATTCATATTTGGGTAACTCTAGACAGATGGCTACCTATTTTTAAGCCTCAGTTTTCCTTCTTCTGACAAATGTGAGGACTAAATGTGAGGACTCATCTGATGTACAGCCCTGTACTAACTGGTTGGGAGGTCAAAAATTAGAAGTAATGGTGTCTCTTTATGAGGAGCTTATAACTTAGTAGATGAACATACATATACATGTTAAACAACTACAGAATATACGATACATGCTAGATTACATGGCAGTATGTGTTCAGAGTAATGTTGAAGGAAGGGTTCAGTCAACGGGGTCTTCCTGGAGGAGATGTGTCTTGAGTCAGTACTTGAAGGAAGTTATTGATGTAGAATGGTGGAGACATGGGAGGAAATTGGTTGTTTCAAGCATAGGGACTAAACTAGGAAAGTTTAAATGGCAGTGATTAGTTAAACTAATTAGTAGGGGATAGCAAGCAAATTGGCTTGGCAGGCCTATTGGACCTTGGAGATTCTGTAGCAGTCAACTTGGTTAAAGCAGAGTGATAATGAGGTCACAGTTCAGTTATGCATCCCAGTTAATTTCTGTCTTTTAACCAACCAGATCCTTACTCCTCATTCAAAGCAGCTGTCTCATATGTATAAGCCCTTAGTCAGAGTGGGGTGGGGCTGGACACAAGAGTGGGATTATAAAGAGTAAATCTGTCCTTTAAGGTCATGTGCCCATCAGTCCAGGCATGGTGGCTCACGCCTGTAATCCCAGCACTTTGGAAAGCCAACATGGACATATTGCTTGAGTTCAGGAGTTCGAGACCAACCTGGGCAAGATGATGAAACTCTGTCTCTACCAAAAATGTGGTAGTGTGCTCCTGTGGTCGCAGCTATTTGGGAGGCTGAGGTGAGAAGATCACTTGAGCCTGGGAGGCAGAGGTTGCATGAGCCGAGATCACACCAATGCACTCCAATCTGGGTGACAGAGTGAGACCCCCGTCTCAAAACTTAAATAGATAAATAATAAAACATATTCATTTGGTCAATAATTATTTTGAATTGGTAGTACTAACTGCTATGGAGGCAGAAGAGTTTATATAAAATGGGTTTTGGTGATCACCCAATGGCCCTTGCTTACTTGAAATCCAGAGAATATGGGCTCAAACTTTTTTTTTTTGAGACAGAGTTTTGCTCTTGTTGCCCAGGCTGGAGTGCAATGGCACCATCTAGGCTCACTGCAACCTCCACCTCCGGGGTGCAAGCAATTATCCTACCTCAGCCTCCCAAGTAGCTGGGATTACAGGCATGTGCCACCACGCCTGGCTAATTTTGTATTTTTAGTAGAGACAGGGTTTCTCCATATTGGTCAGGCTGTCTTGAACTCCCAACCTCAGGTGATTCAACTGCTTGGCCTCCCAAAGTGCTGAAATTGCAGGTGTCAG